CTTTTTCCTTCTCATTCTATTCTCCACGAAATGGTCTTTGGTGCCCTTTTTCTCTCCTAGTCATTCATCTCAAAAGTGTGTAGAATCCCATGTCTTCTAAGATGGTGCCCAAATCTGTTTATTTATTTATTTTTTTTGGAGAGGTTTTTGCTATTGGGTACACGCGCTCGCCAGAAAGACAGAGAGAGACAGAGAGACAGAAAGCAAGAAATCACCCTCAGGGGGGATGGTCACGCCGCAATCCCTTCTCCTCCATTCTCCTCTCAGGATCTTAGGTCCGCACGCACACGCGCCCGGCGTGAGTTTAAGGCACCAGGTCCGGGACGTGAACTGCAGTCGACTACATGGGAGTCCAACGGCACAGCCATTATGCCAACTGCTGGTCTCACTGGTGCCCAAATTTGAATCAGCAGCTCTGACGTAGCTCCCCAAGTTTCAGTCTCAAGTGTCCTGCTTAACAGTTTGGTCACTAAAGATGCTGCTTTAGGCTCAAAGTGTATACGAATGAACGTCCAGTCTTCTCAAAGCTGCCCGCCCCTTTCCATGGAGAACACCACCACTCTCCCAACCCCTGGAGCCCTCTTTCTTTCTACCTTTTTTGTTTTTCTGCCATAGGGCATGAGTTTTCATCAGAAGAAGAGAGAGACAGAGAGAGGGAAAGTGAATAATCACTCCCTGGGGGGAGGGTGGCAGATAGCCAGGCTGCAAGCTCTTCTCCTCCATTCTCCTCTTGGGACGAATGACAACCAGGCACACGTGCCTGGTGTGATTTTCAAGACACCAGGTCTGGGCCCCAAATTGCAGTCACCCATGTGGGAGTCCAGTGCCTTAGCCACTATGCACCTGCTGGCCCCTCTTTCATTTCTCCTTGCCTTTTGAATGCAAAGTTGCCAAGTTCTGTGGATTATTTCCCAGTTTCTTTCTTTCCTTCATTTTGGCTCCTGGGGCCACAGTCCTCGTTCAGGCCATACCTCCCTCTCCACAGTGACTTTGGCTTCTGAACAGCTTGTTTAGACTCCGGCTCTCTCTCCCCTTCAGCCTATCCTGTGTGGAGTTGCCAAGCGAATCTGCCTAATTCACAGCTTGGATCGTGTCACTGCTTAGCTAAGAAAAGCTTTATGACTGCCCACGCTTGACAAAGAAAGATTCAGGCTCCTCACGGGACTTGGGAGGCCTTTGGGAGGCTGCTCTTTGCATGGTAGAAGGACCCAGGAGCAGGAAGGGGCAAGCTCTGACGTTCTCCATCCTGCACCAGAACTGCAGACTCCCCCAAACACTGGGCTGATCATTCAGCGCGGGGGCTGCTGTGCTTCACAAACGTCATTTTCACTGTTTGGAGTGCTACCCCTCTTCCCATGAGCTATGCAAAATGCCAGCCAGCCTCCTAGATCCCATCCCATTCCAACTCTCCCTCGAAGCTTTCCCAAGATCTCTAGCCCAGAGTTCCTTCCCTCTTCTGAATGTCTCTAAAGCAGTTTTATGTATTTTTAAAAATTTGCCAGAGGGCACGGGGCTTGCCAGAGTAACAGAGAGATGGAGAGAGGGAAATCATTCCTCATGGGCTGTGGTCACACTGCAGTCCCTTCTCTGTCTCTCCTTCCTCTTGGGATTTTGAGCATCATGCACACGTGCCTGGCATGTTTCTCAAGCTGCCTGAGCCAGGACTCAAACTGTGTGGTTGGCCGTGTGTAATCTGGCTACCTTAACCATCAGGCCACAGCTGGCCTTCGAAACCAGTTTGAATATCATTCATTGGAGAATCAACCCTCTATTGACATTGCTAGATTTCTTGCACTGGCATGTCACATTGTCATTGTCAGTTTATATCTTGGTAAGCACTGATATGTATATGTGTGAGTGTATATATATA